TGCTAGTGCAACCCTCCTTCTTCTTAATTCCTCTTAAACTTTTCACATAACAATGACGTTACATCATAACAATGGCATTCCTGGATAACAATGACGGTACTGGATAACAATGACGTTACTGGATAACAATGACGTTACTGGATAACAATAACGTTACTGAATAACAATGACGTTACTGGATAACAATGACATTACATGATAACAATGACGTTACTGGATAACAATGGCGCTACATGATAACAATGACGTTACATGATAACAATGACGTTACATGATAACAATGACGTTACATGATAACAATGATGTTACATGATAACAATGACGTTACATGATAACAATGGCGTTACTAGATAACAATGACGTTACTGGATAACAATGGCGTTACATGATAACAATGACGTTTTACATGATAACAATGACGTTTTACATGATAACAATGACATTACATGATAACAATGACGTTACATGATAACAATGACGTTACATGATAACAATGACGTTACAGGATAACAATGACGTTACATGATAACAATGACGTTATATGATAACAATGACGTTTTACATGATAACAATGACGTTACATGATAACAATGACGTTACATGATAACAATGACGTTACATGATAACAATGACGTTACATGATAACAATGACGTTACAGGATAACAATGACGTTACATGATAACAATGGCGTTACTGGATAACAATGACGTTACTGGATAACAATGGCGTTACATGATAACAATGACGTTTTACATGATAACAATGACGTTACATGATAACAATGACATTACATGATAACAATGACGTTACATGATAACAATGACGTTACATGATAACAATGACGTTACAGGATAACAATGACGTTACATGATAACAATGACGTTATATGATAACAATGACGTTTTACATGATAACAATGACGTTACTGTCAGAATGTTATTCTCTAGCCTGTAGTGGGGTGCTCTATAGCGAGTACAACCCATCTAGGGTTTGCTATATGTATCCTCATTGCTGCTAGTGAACTCCTTCTCTTTTGCCTAAACTTCTCTTGCCTAGCTAGGACTTACCTAGCTATGGCTCCTACTCATTCCTCGTTCATTTTCACATGGTATCAGAGGATCTACGCTCCTGGCCTGTGGGCCCACCTAACTGCTTCCGCTGCTACTCTGTGTGTTGCACGCCCCGTGGCGTGCGACGGATTTCTCTTCCCGCTGCGCGCTCGGAGCGTGCGGCGGTTTTCTGCCCGCCGTGCGCCCCGAGGCGCGCGGCGGTTTTCTGCCCGCCGTGCGCCCCGGGGCGTGCGGCGGTTCTCTGCCCGCCGTGCGCCCCGAGGCGCGCGGCGGCCTTCTGCCCCATCGGTCCGCGCGTCGCCCCCAGGGGGCGCTTCGACGGGCGACGGGGACCAGCCCATCGTCCCCCGTCGCCCGTCCTGGCCAGCGCGGGCTGCGCTAGCCCCGAGCGCGGCCCGTACGGGCTGCGCCCGGCCCGCGCGCGGCCCGTACGGGCTGCGCCAGGCCCGCGCGCGGCCCGTACGGGCTGCGCCAGGCCCGCGCGCGGCCCGTACGGGCTGCGCCAGGCCCGCGCGCGGCTCGGGCCGCCTGCGCGCGGTTCGTCGGGCTGTGCCAGGCCCGTGGGCGGCCCGTTCCTCTCTGTCCCTGAGCTGTTCGCTGTTCCCCGTGCTTCTGACGGTGCCCCACCCCTGCTGCTGCCCGTTCTCCTGAATTAGGGTTTGGGGGTGAGGAGTGTGGGGGTGGCGGTTGTGTGTTACTCCCCTTGCTCCTCCTCCTCCCTGGTCTTCCACTGCTGCAGCTGCCGCTGAGGGGGGTGGGTGTGTGGGAGCCTAGGGTTTAGGGTTTTAGGGGGGTGCGTGGGAGTGGAGCTAGGGTTTGAGCAGTGGGTGTGTGTCGAGGGTGTGGGGCAGTTGGAGGAGGTTGTGTGGAGGTACCTGTCGTGTCGCCTGCAGCGCCTGTAGTCCGTCGCCCTTGCTTCGGTAGCCAGTGAGCCTGCTGCACCAGTCGCCAGTGGGTCCGTTGCTCCTGCCGCTCTTCTATAGCCGCCGAGCCAGTTACTCCAGTAGTCCGTCGCCCTTGCTTCGGTAGCCTCTGAGTCAGCCGCTCCTGTGCCCGTGCCTCTGCAGCTTCAGTCGTTGCCTCCCATCTTCTCTACCTCCACAGCTCCTCCTCCTCCTCACTTGCCCGCTGTGATTAGCTCTAGCTTTGCTTACCTTTGTGAACTCCTGCTCTATACCTGCTTGCTCATTGTACTGATTACACCCCACTTTGGCTATGGGGGTGTGTCAGAATGTTATTCTCTAGCCTGTAGTGGGGTGCTTTATAGCGAGTACAACCCATCTAGGGTTTGCTATATGTATCCTCATTGCTGCTAGTGAACTCCTTCTCTTTTGCCTAAACTTCTCTTGCCTAGCTAGGACTTACCTAGCTATGGCTCCTACTCATTCCTCGTTCATTTTCACAGTTACATGATAACAATGACATTACATGATAACAATGACGTTACATGATAACAATGACGTTACATGATAACAATGACGTTACAGGATAACAATGACGTTACATGATAACAATGACGTTATATGATAACAATGACGTTTTACATGATAACAATGACGTTACATGATAACTATGACGTCACATGATAACAATGACGTTACATGATAACAATGACGTTACATGATAACAATGACGTTACATGATAACAATGACGTTACATGATAACAATGACGTTACATCATAACAATGGCGTTCCTGGATAACAATGACGGTACTGGATAACAATGACGTTACTGGATAACAATGACGTTACTGGATAACAATAACGTTACTAAATAACAATGACGTTACTGGATAACAATGACATTACATGATAACAATGACGTTACTGGATAACAATGACGTCACATGATAACAATGGCGTTACATGATAACAATGACGTTACATGATAACAATGACGTTACATGATAACAATGACGTTACATGATAACTATGACGTTACATGATAACAATGACGTTACATGATAACAATGACGTTACATGATAACAATGACGTTACATCATAACAATGGCGTTCCTGGATAACAATGACGGTACTGGATAACAATGACGTTACTGGATAACAATGACGTTACTGGATAACAATAACGTTACTGAATAACAATGACGTTACATGATAACAATGACGTTACATGATAACAATGACGTTACATGATAACAATGACGTTACATGATAACAATGACGTTACATGATAACAATGACGTTACATGAAAACAATGACGTTACATGATAATAATGGCGTTACATGATAACAATGACGTTACTCGATAACAATGACGTTACTGGATAACAATGGCGTTACATGATAACAATGACGTTACATGATAACAATGACGTTACATGATAACAATGGCGTTACATGATAACAATGACGTTACTCGATAACAATGACGTTACATGATAACTATGACGTCACATGATAACAATGACGTTACATGATAACAATGACGTTACATGATAACAATGACGTTACATGATAACAATGACGTTACATGATAACAATGACGTTACATCATAACAATGGCGTTCCTGGATAACAATGACGGTACTGGATAACAATGACGTTACTGGATAACAATGACGTTACTGGATAACAATAACGTTACTAAATAACAATGACGTTACTGGATAACAATGACATTACATGATAACAATGACGTTACTGGATAACAATGACGTCACATGATAACAATGGCGTTACATGATAACAATGACGTTACATGATAACAATGACGTTACATGATAACAATGGCGTTACTGGATAACAATGGCGTTACTGGATAACAATGACGTTACATGATAACAATGGCGTTACATGATAACAATGACGTTACATGATAACAATGATGTTACATGATAACAATGACGTTACATGATAACAATGGCGTTACATGATAACAATGGCGTTACTGGATAACAATGACGTTACTGGATAACAATGACGTTACTGGATAACAATGGTGTTACATGATAACAATGACGTTACATGATAACAATGACGTTACATGATAACAATGACGTTACATGATAACAATGACGTTACATGATAACAATGACGTTACATGATAACAATGACGTTACAAGATAACAATGGCGTTACTGGATAACAATGACGTTACTGGATAACAATGACGTTACTGGATAACAATGACGTTACATGATAACAATGACGTACATGATAACAATGACGTTACATGATAACAATGACGTTACATGATAACAATGACGTTACATGATAACAATGACGTTACATGATAACAATGACGTTACATCATAACAATGGTGTTCCTGGATAACAATGACGGTACTGGATAACAATGACGTTACTGGATAACAATGACGTTACTGGATAACAATAACGTTACTGAATAACAATGACATTACATGATAACAATGACGTTACTGGATAACAATGACGTCACATGATAACAATGGCGTTACATGATAACAATGACGTTACATGATAACAATGACGTTACATGAAAACAATGACGTTACATGATAACAATGGCGTTACATGATAACAATGGCGTTACTGGATAACAATGACGTTACTGGATAACAATGGCGTTACATGATAACAATGACGTTACATGATAACAATGACGTTACATGATAACAATGACATTACATGATAACAATGACGTTACATGATAACAATGACGTTACATGATAACAATGACGTTACATGATAACAATGACGTTACATGATAACAATGACGTGACATGATAGCAACGACGTTACATGATAACAATGACGTTACATGATAACAATGACGTTATATAATAACAATGACGTTTCCAAGAGGGGCAACGCTACTGTCCATGGATTCGGACATTCACCTTGTGTTGCTTCGTTCGAATTCTTTTATCCCACCCGGGCTCGCATTCTTAATCTAACACCGGAAGAAATGTTTCCCCTGGTACCTGGAAGAAGGTATCCCAGGGGAAGAGTGCGAGCAGGTCCACGATAAAAAACGTGCACAGGTACCTGCCAGCCACGTGATGCGATGCGGTGGCCCGAGGGGGGGTGTTGGGGGGGAGTGAGTTGAGCAGGGGGCGGGTAGGGGGGTGGTTGGTTAATGGTATGAAGCAAAGAAAGCAAGCCAAAGAAGGAGAACAGGAAGAAATACCTGAGAGAACAATGGGGACAGGGAGGGAGGGAGTGGCGACACACAAAAGCGAGGCGGCACACAAAAGCGAGGCGGCACACAGGTGCACTAGAGCTGGTGGTGATTTCATTCAGGGGAGATGCCAAATTGTGCATACAGCATGAAGCCCAACCATGATCCATCTGACTTCACCACACATTGCCTCACCACCACACCATGACCCTGACTAGTTACACATCTCTACAACAGTACTTGAGTTTCTAAAACAAAACGTCTCTTTAATCCAATGTTTATGCACCGCACTGCATTGCACTTCGCCACCCTCCAGCGCACGTCACCTGGTGACAGAGCTCCAGTGGTTGCAGACATGGCTGTGAATCTACCTGTCCTTGAAGGCGAATTACAAAGGTGACCAACAGGTTGTCGAGGAAGAGAGAGTTCACATCGCCTCACCTCGCTGCACGCAAAAAGGTTCTTCGATCCAACATTTACCCACTGCACCGCACTGCACGCACTGCGCCACCCTCCAGCGCGTAAGATGCTCGCACTTCACCTCACCTCAACCTCACAGCATGCTCGCCCAATCACCGCACTCAACCACACCTTACCTAGTCTCAATTCTCCAGCAAATATTGTTAGAACTTGAGCTTAGAATTCATGCATTAGTAATGAGCTCAAGGCTCTTTAAGTACATTGGAAATGGGCAAGGTAACGGTGGGGAGAGAATCGGGGGCAATCCTAGGGAATTGGGGGTAATCTCAAGGCAATCTCCAATTGGTGGGTTGGAGATTGCTTGGAGATCACATTTTGGTTTGGTTGGGATGTGGGTGTACACCCAACCAAACACAAAGTGCAAACTACACTAAACTGTGATATAAAAATTACAAGTACAAATGTGAGATTGAGGGCTAACATTAACAAATATAGCTCTGGGTCTTGCGGTCCTTGAAGGCAACGAAGAAGGTGAGCAGCAGGTCAGCAAGGAAGAAGAGACGTCACCTCACCTCACCACACCTCACCGCACTCAACCGCGCCTCACCTAGTGGCAATGCTCCAGTGGTCACAGACGTATCTCTGCGTCTTCTGGTCTTTGTATGCCACGAAGAATGTGAGAATGAGGTCGGACAGGAAGAAGATGCTGACGACACCGTCCGCTATGGCGAGGCCGGACGGCAGCACGGGCAGGAAGGAGAACTCGAGCGGCGTGATGAACGCGGAGTAGAAGGAGAGAGCCAGGATGAGCTGCTGCCACAACAACAGGTAGCTGGGAGTTGTGCGGGGAGGGGAAGGGGGGAAGAGAACGAGAGGGAAGAACGGATTGAGGCATTGAAACACCTCAAAGTTGGGAGAATTCGAGCGGCGTGATGAACGCGGAGTAGAAGGAGAGAGCTAGGATGAGCTGCTGCCACAGCAGCAGGTAGCTGAGAGGAGGGAGGGGGGAGGGGGGGAGAGAAAGAGAAGGGCAGAAATATGGAGGAGAATTTGAGCGTAAGGAGGGGGGAGAGAGAACGAGAGGGAGGAACGGATTGAGGGATTGAAACGGCTCAAGATGCGAGAGACGGGTGAGATGGGGCGAGCTGTGAAGGGTGAGATGGGGCGAGCTGTGAAGGGTGAGATGGGGCGAGCTGTGAAGGGTGAGATGGGGCGAGCTGTGAAGGGTGAGACGCAGCACCCATCACCCCTCACTCACCCATCATCACCCTCACATCATCACCCCTCACTCACCCTCATCACCCCTCACTCACCCATCATCACCCCTCACTCACCCATCATCACCCCTCATCACTCACCCGTTATCAAACGCCACCACGCCCCCCCCAAACAGCTCTGTTGTCCGCATCGCCCGCAGGAAGAGGGACGATAGGAAGGCACCCATCTCCGAGGATAGAAAGGTACTGCGGCCGCATCTCCGTTCACACACCCAATGTCGTCGGCACTCACCCATCCTCACCGCTCACCAACCCTCATCACTCCTCATCACTCACCCATTATCAGGCGCCACCACGGCCCTCCCCAGCAGCTCAGACGTCCGCATCTCCCGCAGGAAAAACGTGTCGGACCGGGCAAACGTGGGCCTGCCCCCTGCTCCCGAGCCTACGGCGCTGGCTCGGGAGTCAGAGGGGGCGAGGCCTGGGGCGGTCTGGGAGGCCATGCGGGAGATGGCGAAGGCAGAGTGCGTAGAGCCCCTTGAGGGGCGCCCCAGCAGCGTGTGGGACACCCAGTTCAGAAGCTGGGGGGAGGGGGAGTGGAGGGGGTGTGGGGGGTTTTGCTGGTACACGCTGAGAGAAGAACAAGCAAAGGCGAAGGCAGAGTGCGTGGAGACCCTGGAGGGGCGGCCCAGCAGCGTGTGAGACACCCAGTTGAGAAGCTGGGGAGAGGGGGGAAGGAGGGAGGGAAGGAGGGGAAGGTTGGGTTCTTTGTGTGCGCACTGAGAGCTCATGCCAGGGCGAGTGTGTGGAGCCCCTTAAAGGGCAGCCCAGTAGTGTGTGCAAGACTCATTTCAGCAAGCGAGGGGGGGGGGGGGGGGGAGGAAGGGGGAGTGGGGGGGTATGGGGGGTTTGTTGGTACATACACACTGGGAGTTCATGCAAAGGCGGAGGAAGAGTGCGTGAAGCGCTTGGAGGGATGGCCCAGGAGCGTCTGGGAGACCCAGCTCAGAAAATAGGAGAGGGGGGGGGGTTGGGGACGGGGATGGGAAGGGGATGGGGAAGAGCGAGGCGAAGGTCAACGCAAAGGCGGAGTGGGGGAGATCTCTTGAGGGACGGCCAAGCAGCGAGTGTGGGAGACCCAGTGCAGAAAATGGGAGGGGGGAGGGGGGAAGGGGGGGAAGGGGGGGAGGGGGGGAAGGGGGGCGGACGGGGGAAAGGGGGGTTGTTAGTACACGCTGGGAGGTGTAGGTAAAGGGGCGGAGAGGGTGGAGACACTTAAGGTTCGGCCCAGTAGCATTTTGAGCGGCCATGGCGAGGGTAGGTGCGTGAAGCTATGCCGGAAAACATGCTTAGGCTAGAGAGAATATCACGTTTAGTAGTCTGCGTATATGACAGAATTCATGATACGCGTCTAAAAACGTGATACGTTTCCGGCAGGCAGGTAACCACTCCTTGGTTCACTGCGGTAACAACCCATGGCTACAGTGCAATAATCACCCGTAGGTTCACTGTAGTAACGAACATGAGACATCACCTGTTGTAGCGGCGACAGCCAGGCGCTCACCTGCTGTAGCGCTCACCTGCTGTAGCGCTCACCTGCTGTAGCGCTCACCTGCTGTAGCGCTCACCTGCTGTAGCGCTCACCTGCTGTAGCGCTCACCTGCTGTAGCGCTCACCTGCTGTAGTGCTCACCTGCTGTAGCTAGCGCTCACCTGCTGTAGCGCTCACCTGCTGTAGCGCTCACCTGCTGTAGCGCTCACCTGCTGTAGCGCTCACCTGCTGCAGCGGCGAGAGGTCATGGTCGCCGCGGAACCGCTGCTTGTGAGGTAGCTCGTACATGTTCTGCTCCTCCGCATTCCCCGCTTCCGCCATTTCCCCTCCCGCATCCCCTTCCGCTTCCCCTTCCCCTTCCCCTCGTTGCCTTCTTTCCCGCCTCCCGTTCGTCCACCCTTGAGGCGCGCAGGCCTCTTCCCCCCATTCCCTGCGCGCGCGCGCCTCGTCCCACGCCTCGCGGCCCCCTGGCTCGTTCTCGGCTCCTGAGCTTATCGCGCTGACGTCAGACAGCGTCAGCCACGTGGGCATCTCATTCGCCTCGTGCTGACGTGTCGAATTACCGGAGCTGTTCAGACGGTCCAGATCGTCCCATCGGACGGCGGAGACGCGGCTCCTATTCGAAGCCACGCTCGCGACGGGTTTCGCAGCGTCGCTGCCGCGCGACGGAATCGTCGCCAGCGACGTCGCGTGCGACGTCGTCTGCCCTGATGGCCGCTGCTTGAGAGAAGTCTTGAGGGAAGGATGGAGAGGCGAGTCCTCATCGTCTCCCATGACGGGTAAATCTAGGACGCGCGTGGAGCCGAGAGCGAACAGCTGGAGATCTAGGCGTACATAAACTGCATGCTTCCACAGCGTTACTCGGCATTCCGCTGCTTTCCTGGGCTGTTGAGCTTACCTGGGCTGTTGAGCTTACCTTTTCTAATCCGCTAATCCCAAGGCTCGAACAAGTGATGTGGCACTCCCAAGAGTTCCTGTGAAGCAAGCTCAGTGAGCTTGCTGTTGAACAATTTTCGGAGAGGTTGGGTACGGTACGGGGTCAAGGATGTTTGGGATACTCCTAGCGGAGTCGCGGTGAGTGGAGTGCAAAAAACATCTTCGATACATCAGCACTCGTTAACAACGCTAAGTGTTCCAGAAACCTGCAATTCCAGTTTCACAAGTTCATATCAGAAAACAATATTACCCGTTTCTTCACCAACTCTGTAACCGCAATTCCGTGTTGTAATATTATGCTGGAAATAGGCGGTTGTACGTGTGAAAAATGGTTTTCAGGAGCATATGATCGTTCACTGAGATGTATATGGAGGAATTTGAATTTCTCTTTAATCTTCCGTATTTACGAACATGTAGTGTTGATTATTGCTGCTATTAACGTAAAAACGCGTCTTCGCAGCAATTCCTCTCCAGAACCAAGGTGCCAGACTGTTCGAATCGTGTGGTAAACGCGACTCGTTCTGACACAAACATTTTGAGATTGCGAGTCGCGTGGGGAAACTTGGATGTGGTGTGGGCTCGGGGGGGAAACCTGCCCACGGACGGACTGCACGCACGGACTGCCCGTACGGAGTGCACGCACGGACTGCCCTGCCCATCTGCTTCATTCGTCTCTTCCACTCCCATCCATCACCCTTCCGTGCACAATTTTCCTTGTCGTACTTCCAACTACTCCTCATCCCAGACCATAGGCATAGCTTCCTTCGTCTGCAGCAGCCCCACATCGCGTGGAAGCGTGCTTTACGCAGAAGCCATGGACGCCACGACCACACCGCCTGATGCCCACGTGACAGAAGAGCCGCGAGATCTGGAACCAATGAAAGGCGTGCTCTAGCCGGGCGAGGATATCATCAACGGTCTGCCCGACGACGTACTCTCCGCAATTCTCGAGCGAGCCTCTTCCAGCAATGCGATACGCCACGCGCTCGTGTGCCGCCGGTGGTTGCGCCTGGCGCAATATACGCAGCAAGGGCGTCCATGTCAGCGCCGAGCACAACCTCCACACGGGCGAGCTGCTGCGCGGCTTGGTGAGACTCCCCAACGTGACCACGCTCACGCTAGAATATAAAAGCGTAGACTTTCTGAACGACGAGTTCCTGACGGCGCTGCCCTCCGCCTGCCCGCAGCTCTCCCGCCTGCGCCTGGACGAGCCGCGCTACACCGGGGTGCCGCACTTCCGCATCACCCCCACGTGCCTCGGCCGCTTCTTCCTCCGCGCTTCGCGTCTCGAGCAGCTCACTCTCGACCAAAGCCTCGGCAACATGACAAAGCTTCCCTCCTCGCTCGCGTCACTCTCGTCGCTTCGCGTGCTCACCCTCAGCGTGCCGCGACTTACCGTTCTTCCCGACGAGTTCAGCGCGCTGCACGCGCTGGAGGAGCTCCGCGTCATCTGCCCCGAGCTGCGGAGCCTCCCCGCGTCCGTCACGCAGCTCACGCGGCTGTCCCGCCTCTGCCTAACAGACTGCCGCGTGATGCACCGGCTGCCCGCGCAGCTCTGCGCGATGAGCGTGCTGACGGCGCTGAAAATACACGGGTGGTTCCGCTTGGAGGGCATTCCGGAGAGCATCGGCGCGCTCAAGGAGCTGCGCCGCCTGGTCCTGCGCAACATCAGCTGCGCGCAGCCCGACGTGGGGGAGGAGTGGCGCAAGCTGGAGGAGTTGCGCCTGGAGAACGTCAGCCGGGGGTGGGGCCGTTTTCCGCCCATCTCCCTCGATTCCCTTGCGCTCCTCACCATCCGCCACTGCCGCAGCCTCCGCGCGCTCCCCGACGACATCGGCGCGGCGCCAGCGCTCCGCGAGGTCGAGATCGTCGACACGCCGATCGCCGAGCTGCCCACGTCGATTGCGACGCTGACGTCACTGGAGCGGCTGGTGTTGGCGCCGTCCAAGTCGATGAGAGGACTGCCGCCCACACTGCTGGCACTGCCGCGAGTGGCGCACGTGATGGTGAAGAACGTGTCGGCCCTTGCTTCGCTGATCAGGGGCGGCGCGCGCGAGGAGGCGGATGGACGTCGCCAGCCAGTCGTGCGCCTCGCGCTGGTGCAGTCTTTCTCCCTCGAATGCTGCTACTTCTTCACCCATTTATCCCCCGCCCTCCCCGCGCTCGCGCCCTCGTTGCGCGCGCTCACGCTCGCCGACCTCCCCGCGCTCTACTCCTTGCCCGCCGAAGTCTTCCGCCTCACCGCGCTCACCTCCCTCTCGCTCCTCCTCCTGCGGCACGTCAACTGCCTCCCCCCCGCGCTCTCCGCGCTCTCCGCCCTCCGCGCGCTCAGAATCACCTCCGCGTCTGAGCTCGCGGCGCTTCTCGAATCGCTGGGCCAGCTGGCGGCGCTCGAGTCGCTCGAGCTCGACGACTGCCCCGCGCTGCGGAGCCTGCCCGCGTCGCTGGGCCAACAGGCGGCGCTCGGCGCTGCGGAGTCTGCTGCCGTACCCGCCGCCACGAGCGGGCTCAGCGAGCTGACGCACCTCAGCATCACCAGGTCCGGTGCGCTCACCGCGCTGCCGGACTCCGTTGGCCAGCTGGGCCGCTTAAAAACGCTGACTATAGCGAGCGCCACGTCAGCCGCGTTCCTCCCGTCAAACACTCTCAGCGGGCTGACCCGCCTGGAAGCGCTACGCATCTCCGACTGCCCCCTCCTCGCCGCGCTCCCCGCGTCCCTCTGCACCCTTCCCCGCCTCCACACGCTCTCCCTCGCCAAATGCCCCGCCCTCCGCACCCTCCCCGACGCCATAGGCCAGCTGCCCGCCCTCAAGCGCCTCTCCCTGAAAGACCGCTCCGCGCTCGCCCGCCTCCCCGCGTCCCTCCCGCGCCTCCCTGCGCTCGAGTCGCTCGACATTGCTAGCTGCGCGCTGCACCTCCCTGACGACTTCCGCCCGCTGCCTCGCCTCGCGCGCCTCTCCGTCCGCAACTGCCGCGCCTTCTCCCGCCTCCCCGCCTCGCTCTCCCGCCTGCCCGCCCTCCGCGTGCTCAAGCTCTCGTCCTGCTCGTCTCTCTCCGTGCTCCCCCCCGACCTCGCAGCCCTCCCCGCGCTGCACTCGCTGCTGCTGGACGGGTGCTCCGCGCTGGCGGAGCTGCCCGCAGGGCTGGCGCGCGCGCGGGGGCTGCGCCACGTGGACGTGCGCGGGTGCGGGGCGGTGTGGGAGGACGCGGAGGTGGGCGTGTGCGGGCGGCGAGTCCACGTGGAGCGGGGTCGACGCGAAGGGGACTTGAATGTGACGTGGACGATGGCCAGAGACAGTCAAGTGCAGCGCGCGAGGAGGGGGGGCGAGGAGGGAGAGGGCGGGGAGACAGAGGGAGGTGAGGCCGTGGAGGGAGGTCAAGGGGGGGCAGAAAGGGTAGGTGCGGCGAGAGGCGGGTTGGAGGGAGCAGTGGCAGCCTCACGAAGGGATCGAGAGGGGGTGAGGGAGGAGGAAGGGGAAGGTGTGGAGGAGGTGTTGTGGGGGAGGACGATAAGGTGGGAGAGGGTGAGATGAGGAAGCAAGGGAGGAGAGGAGGAATGCTAGGAGGGAGGAAAAGAGTGAGGGAAGGGCGATGGGAATGGGGGAGCTGGCGATGGGGGCATAGGGGGGAACCAGGTTAGGGAAGAGGTCGGGGGAGAGGCTTGGGGAGAGGCTGGGGAGAGGCTGGGGAGAGGCTGGGGGAGAGGTGAAGTGGTGAGTGGGTGAGGGGAGGAGGGACGGAGTGAGGTGAGGGAGAGAGTGAGGTGAGGGAGGGAGGTTGAGCAGCAAGGGAAGAGAAGAACAGGGCGGACAGACAGAGATTGGTGAGGATTGGGAGGGATGCTGCTGGTACCGTAATCCCCCGTATATAGGACCCCCCCCAGTTGTAGACCCCCGGGTCTATAATACGGACCCGGGTACTCTATTCGAGTACATCTGAGTTATACCCCCAAAACGGCCCCTAACATTATAAGACCCCCCACATCCTAGAGAAGTGTGGATTTTACAAACAGCCCGCACGAAGCGTGCATGGGGTGTGAAGGCCGAGGCCATCAAACGGTGCCCTGCGCTGTCGTGTGAACACCAAGTGGTGTTGGTGGCCAATGGGAGTAGGCTCCCAACTAGGGTTTGTGATGACGTGGGTTCGGCCCGTGTGGAGACCAATTCGAGTTTTTTTGGGAGGAGCTAAAAACGGAGCAACTCCAAATCACTTCTTTGAGCTCCAAAACTACATTCTTATAAATGTCAATATGAACAGACCCGGGTCTTCTAAAAAGTATACCATATAATTATACCCCCCAGCCTTTTTAGGGGTGATTATCATAATACCCTAGGGTCTTATATACGGGGGATTACGGGTAAGCTTGGTAAGGATAGGGCTGCAGCCTGCCACTTGCACGGGAAAGGGATGGCTCGGAGTGTACGTGCCTGTACTACCGTATTTCGTCCCTGTCAATACTCACCATTCATGCCATGCTGCTTCTCTTACGGTAGGTAAACCGATTATCAGTGAATTGGACATGGCCTACCAGTGAAATGTTTTAGTAGGCTACTAATGCATTATTCATTGCACAAGTGGCTCAGAATGTACACAAGTGACTGAGCGGTCAGGTCTCAGGTGCCACAGGTGGCTCTTGCACCCTCCAGCACACCACACAAGTGGTGACAGTGACACAACACACAGTGCCTCAGTGTGTCACACACACCTGCTTCAGCTGTGCCTTCCACAAACAGCTGCAATCTGGCGCCCCACACACACAAAAATTAGGCCAACTTTTTCATCCTGCAAAACATCAAACATACTGGTTGAGCATCAAGACCATCACCAGGAACATACACATATACATACGGTAATCTAACCACACCGAATTCAAGGAAGCTGCATAACACAAGGCCGGGCGGGCATGCCAAAACCCAACCTAATCTAAGCGGATACCAGAGAAACGCCGCCTCGCTGTCAGAACTGCGTTGATACTCGAATAGGCCCTCAGCTCAATTTTGTTGACTTTTATGGAAGCATAAAAGTCCCGAGGATTCTTGAACATCCCAGCAGCGAAGAACAGATTGAATGGGCTGTTAGGCATGTAAGGCGAAGCGACTGCAGTGGAAGTTGTCATGGTGCATTCCCAAGTGGTGCCCACGATTGGGACCGTGTCGTATGTGCAGGGAAGCGGAAACTCCTTCACGAGGGCCTTGGTGCTGCTCCTGTAGAATCCGAGACGTGTGATGTTTGGTGACTTGGTTGTTATGCCCGCAATGCGGAAGTTGTAGTTGAACGTTTGGAGCTTATCCGAGCTGCAAGTGGGAGCGGGCGAGGAGGGGGGGGTGGGGGGCAGGGTTGGAGGGAGAGACATGCAAGTGATGTGAGAGCTGTGCTGCTACGATTGGAATCAACTCTCTCAGCTTTGAGTGCAAAGCCTCTTCTACATGCTCAATGCGTTTACTTTATAAAAGTCAATGGATTGTAGAAGTAAACGCAATACGTTTTATGTGGCACTTACACATTAGCACGCAGAGTGCAAGAGCCAGTCAAAGCACCAGTTGTCGAGGCAAACCGGGACTTAAGTTGGTCTGCGCAACAGGAGGAAGGACCACAAACACGAATTTGGTAGACAGAAGGAACGGAACACACCGGATAAGCAATGCAAGCATGATAGAGACGGTGCAGGGGAGCACGACATGACCCATTGAGTTGACCATCATGCGTCCAAATTCGAGTTAGTGCTAGTGTGACGTACAACAACAAATGACGGAAAACGATGAAGGGTGACATACAACAAGAAAGGGTGACGTACAACAAGAAAGGGTGACGTACAACAAGAAAGGGTGACGTACAACAAGAAAGGGTGACGTACAACAAGAAAGGGTGACGTACAACAAGAAAGGGTGACATACAACAAGAAAGGGTGACGTACAAGAAGAAAGGGTGACACACAACAAGAAAGGGTGACGTACAGAGTGCCTCGCGGCGTATGCCGATATCGGCGCCGACGGCGCTGCAGGACAGCGAGAGCAGCACTGCATGCGAAGAATGACGTACGGGGAATATTAGTGCCAGAGTCCCGATTTTTGCAATCATTACTGCTATTAGCTGCTATCTTATTTATCTTACTTACGGATTTGCAAAACGGAGGAGCAGACTCAGCAGCGTGAGACACGTTTCAAGCGAAACCGTGGATATTACGGGAAGTGCGAGTGAGTAGAGTGAGCAAGCAACGGCTGGGCGACTACAGAGAGCAGAAAACGTGCTCACTAGCGCTCACTAGCGCTCACCGCTCACAGCGGTGAGTGTATCATCAGATATATAGTAGCAACTCACCAGCGAGGACCGTTGCGATTCGCAGCGACGTATGGGCCATTGCTGCCGCTTTGAGATGTACTGGTAGCAGTAATAGTCACTAAGGAATCACGGTCCTGAGACTTGCGGATGGTACAGCGATTTACGGCGCAGTATCTAGAAGGATAGGCCAAGAATTAAACAGAATAAGATGTTCTGCCGAAGCAAAGCCCTGCTTTATAGACAGACAGCTCAAGCGGGCTGGGTGCTCGATAGACTGAACAGCGGCACGCACACAGGATCCTCTGTACGCATCGTGGTTGCTACTCCGCTCCATTTGGCGTCGCACGCGGCGCTACTATTCAGGTAGAACTCGCCAGGTACTAGAAAGGAGGAAACGAGTCGTCAAGTTGACACGACGATTTCCCTCGCTTTTACAAGTCAGAGGAGGCTACTGTAACACAAGCCAGTTGAGCAACTTCAGGTGCATTGAGCGTATCCTTACAGGTCTCAAGGTTGATTCTTGCCGTGCGGCTCGACGTTGCGACATGTCTAACATTTACGCCAGATTCTAACTCCAGATTCCAACGCAGCAATAGGAAATGGGAAGGGTTTAGTTCCCTGAGGTCCAGGGTGTGCTGCCGCATATCATGCTGCTGGTTCGCTTGGCAAGCACTGCCACAGCGGATGACACAAGCCGAAATCTCGAAAAACCTCTTTCAACCGTTATAATAGCATACAGAAAACATTTGCAGAGAGAGCGGCATCTTGCCACCTGCGACGTGACATCAGAAATGTCGAGTACCATCCAGTGCCTGCCTTGTCACAGAACACACGCTGTTACAGGTACCCGCATGTCGCGCAAAACCATCTGACAGCTGCTGTAGTGGTTACGACAAAAAACAAATGCACAACCTTTCTTCGCAATTCGCGATGCCAACGATGTACGCGTCTAAAAGTAATACTCCAGAATTGGCATGTTACTAGTTACTGGAATCCAAGGGCACTCTTCGAATTCCGAGATGTACATCTGGATGAAACTCCCATTCAATTATCTCCCCTTACCATCCATGCATTCTGCCCTGCAATACAAGGGCTTTTTAAAGGTGAGACATGTATGACTCAATCTGTAAAGCAAGCACTCGCCTTGTATCCTTCAAGAAAACAATTGTACAATGAACGCCCTACTGAAAGTCCATCTTGGAGCTGATTTAGAGTCAGTAAAGAGGATAAAATCGATAGTAATTGGATGCAACTACAAGAAAGACATTGATAACGACTTATCATTTGAGCAATGAGCGGGCAAGATGATCTTTTGCTGTTGCCAAGGCTTGGGAAATGGTCTGAAGTAGGGGAGAGTAGACACACAATCACATAGACCACACACCACATGTGTGTTGCATGCAGGCAAACAAACAGACACACGCAATCACACCTCACACTCACGAGGACACACATACACACACCCACACACACATACTCCCTCACTCAAACACCTCACACACAAAATAAATGGCAGATCGAGTGGGAGAGTCAAGGATGGATTATCAGCTCGGTTGGCCCATGGTGCATTGTACTTGAAACATAGAAATTTGAATGCAGCATTGCACGACCAATGCTAGCAACACTCGGCCAAGGTGGTAGGGAGAGCAAACGAAGAAAGCAAGTGAACCCGGGCATGGAAGTCAACAACTCACAACCGACTGGTGTTGTGTTGTCTTCGTGCAGTTTCAGGACATGAATCATGCACTGATATATTCCAAGTGCCATGCACTCTTCACTAACCTAACCAAGGGCCACACACTGCTCCCTCACCTGTTCGGAAAGAGGCAGGTCGGCGTCGGCTCCTCTCATGGCGACTCTGTTGGCGATCACTGTGGGCTCCGTCTCCAGAATCACCCTACCGCACACACACACACGATTGGATTCCGTAGCGCACTTGGGGTGTCAAGCAGCGCAGATGGGGTTCAGGCAGCAGCAGGGGCCGGGAGGCCGCATAAGTGGGTGTCCCGTGCCACACGGCAATGTCCGTCACAAGGAGCGGAGAGAACGAATAGGTGGGAGAATAAAGGGTGAGGGAAGCCCATTCAGCGCAGCTGAGACCATCACAGCGGGTCCCAGCACAGCCAGTCATGAACAGGGTGCAAAGTATGCCACCACCGCCACCTGCAGCTATGCGCAGGCTACCTTCATATGCACAGGCTAGCTCCATACGCACAGGTTGCTCATGCAGCACTACACTGCTGGTACTTGTGTGCAACCCAACTGCGGCCATCCACCGCAAGCGCCTACTATAGTTTGCCACCCAGTCAGGCATCCAGCCATCCACCCTATACTGGTCTGTGTGCAGTCCACACACCATAACACACGGCAGGAATCAATGACGCACATTCCCAATCCCCGACCATATCCCCCACCACATCCCCCGCCCCATCCCCCGCCCCATCCCCAGGCTAGCCCCACACGCACAGGTTGCTCATGCAGCACTTCTCTGCTCGCAATCCTGCAGCCCAACTGCGGCCATCCACCGCAAGTGCCTTCTTTACCATCACATCAGGCATCCAGCCATCCACATTCCCAGTCACCCGCCACATCCCCCGCCACATCCCCCACCACATCCCCCACCACATCCCCCCCTACATTCCCCCCCACATCTCCAACACCACATCCCCCCCCCACATCCCTAGGTGTACCCAGAGCGGAACGGAGAGCAAGCGGGCACTCACCCGCCGTCGACGAGCTCGTCCAGGCATAGCAGCACGAGGTCGAGGTTCTCCAGCACCGTCTTCTTCTCCACGTTGCCCCTGCGGTCATGCCATGCATGCGGGAGACAAAGTGAGAGAAGCCATAGGGTGAGCGAGCTGGATGAGGGTGAACAGACGAGCACGAGGTCGAGGTTCTCCAGCACCGTCTTCTCCACGTTGCCCCTGCGCAGCGCACCACGCGCATGTCAGTCGGATTATTAGATTCACCAAATGTAGAAAAAAAAAATACAAAAAAAAACAACAACAACAGAAATGACAAGTTGACCCTGACAGGGAAGTGTGAGGCCATGCCATGCAGGAAACGGAGTGAGTGAAGCCCAGAAAGTGAACGGGATGAGGGTGAAAAGACGAACACGCGCTGGCGCTGGTCCGGGAGTGGATCACCTGAACAACAGCCACAAGTCAACTCAGTGGTGCTGGTCCGGGAGGGGGGTCACCTGAGCAGATGCGAGACGGCTTCAAAGAAGGCGGTGAGGACGGTGGAGAGGATGAGCTCGTTCTCGTCCTCGCCGCCCGTCACGTAGAAGTGCAGATCCGCGATAAACCTGTACACCACGATGAACCCCTCGAAGATGCCGATCTCCGCTGCACGCGACACGGGGCACACGCGGAGTGCAATGATCCGCACGGGAAACAAAAAGGTACGGCTGAGATGCTCAGACATTGTTTTGAGTCGACTCAAAACACATCCATACGGGGAACGATAAAGTGCGACTGAATTTTGTCAGCTTTCCGCAGCGATATTGGAGATGATGAGAGCAGCTGATCGCTAGGTCAGGATTCTTCTCATGTTATGTATCGCCGCGTGCATTAGAAAGTTCGCAGCGCACTTTGCGAACGGATAGGTGAACTGCGTGTGAAGGAAAAGGAAACAAAGAGAGCCACACCTTCTGCTCTGGCATTGGCGCGTTGTGTTTTGCTCAGAAGCGACTTCTCGAAATTTAGCTTGGCTGCGAGGGTGGGCCAGTCGTCCGAATAGTACTTCACCGCTACTCGCTTCCCCTCTGAATCCAGTAGCAGGATGTTCTTTATCAATGGCGCCGACACCTGCGAGATGTCAACCCAATGTGAGGCCGGATGAGGGAAGCACACACGCGAACTGTAAAGCAGAAATTGTCCGTAAGAAGGGAGCCATTGCGGATGCTGATCGGCGTACCTCCATGGCGATGATAGCTGATAATCACGAGGCCGGACTCCGATGCGACACACGAAAAAGACTTCACTAATTTACGGCACCCGGAACAAGGAATTTGCCGGCGTTCTAGATAAAATATCGTAGTAAGGAGTATATCAGTGGACTTGGAGTCTGGTCTGCTCGTGCAGCATTCAGGCGAATCGGAAATGGCGAGAAGCTGAGCTTGAATCTCACTTGTCACGGATCGGAACGGTGAACTCAGGACTTCTGATTTGAATCTCCAGCTGAAGCATCTACCTTGATCAGAGCGGTTTGAAATGGTTGGGCACGTATACTACGCGGTATAGGGGTCTGAAGTGCCCACCGCGTGGACCGAAGGAAGCACAATTGCAGGAAGGGATGGGCTCTGCTGGTTGGCCTGAGCAGCTACACAGTCAATAAAGCCATTCATGTATAATACGGTAAGGGCTCTATAAAAACCAGCTGCAACGGACAAATAGCACCCTGAATGTAGACCTCTCACTAAACAGAAACTTTGACAACTCAGAATGTAACTTCTGAGTCTACAAGTCACCAGACATGCCAGCTTCAAGAGCACTCTATGTGTTTCGACTCGTTGCGCTTTGTGGTCTTCCCAGCCTAGCTACTGCACTGCAACCAGAAAATATATTTATGTAACGGCTATTCTGACTGCCATTTCCATCTGGCAGTTGTCCCAGTTCCATGGGAGAAGAATTCCTGCTGCCCATGGCATTTGACCAACAAACACCTACCAGACACCTACACATTAGCTGTCACACCTACCAGCCCGACATACTACTCTCATTGCCAGGCCTCAGCGCTCTACCCCCACTCCCCCTTCCACCATCCGCACCCCTCCCCCCATTTCCTTCAGCTTCGCCACCTCAGCTTCGCACAACACCAGCGCATTCCGAACCTCCGAGAACGTCGGGTCCCGGGGGGATCCGTCGCTTAGCGGAGAGTCTCTCTTAGCAGCCTGCCTTAGCAGCTGCAGGGCCTCCTGGGTTAAGCGCAGGCGGGAAACGGAGGAGAGAGGACGCAGGCGCGAGCGGTCCCTGAGAGCCAGCGCCCAGTTGAGGAGAGCTGGAGGAAGGGGGGGTGCAAGAGGAGCGATGAACGGGGGGGGGGGAGAGGAGAGAGCTTGGGACAGGATGAGAGGCGATAACTCATGGACAGGGGATGCACGCGAGCGGTCTCTCAAGGCACGTGCCCAGTTGAGGAGAGCTGGATGGAGGGGGGATGCCAGAGGGGTGGGGGAATGGCGGTGGGAGAGAGTTGGGATAAGGCGATGGAGACAACTAAAGGCACGAGTGGTCCCTCAGGGCCAGCCCCCAGTAAAGGGGAGCTGGGGGGAGGGGGGATGCAAGGGGGATAAAAAATGGGGGTAGGAGGGAGCTTGGGATAAGGGGAGAGAAACAGCTCACAGACGGGAAATGCGAGAAAAAGGCAGGAACGAATCAAAGGGGCAAAAACCTTGCTGTTTAGTGGTGGGAGAATGAATTTGGGACGTACAGAAGAACTTCCCCTAAAATGAGAGGATGGTATAGGGAGGTCGGGGCAGGGAAATGAACGGAGTACGGCAGATGTGGGAGGAGGAAGTGGGAATGAGAAGGCAGATGTGAAGGGCAAGGCACTCACCACTGGCGTGCCAGCGGTCGGTCATGGAGAGCATGGCCTCGAACTTGTCAATGGCGGCACAGAACATGCGGTCTGCTAGCGCCTTGTACTCCTGGCAAGGGGGGAAGGAGGTGGGTGGTGGGTGTGGGCGGGGGGAGATGGTGTGGCGTGACTTGTGAGATGTCTCAACTACAGAACATGCGGTCGGCCATCGCCTTGTACTCCTTGGAAAAGGAGGGAGTGGTGCCGTGGTGGGTGGTGAGCGGGATGGAACTTATGAGATGTTACGAAAACAAACCATACGGCCTTTTGAGTCGCAAGAAAATTTCCGCGATTCACGAGACGACTTTTGACGCGCCTCAAAAGAGAACGGGATGGAACTTATGAGGTGTCAGAAAAACAGATCATGCCGTCTGCTACTGCCTTTGTAGTCGTGGCAAGGGAGCGAGGGAGATCTGGAAAAGGAGATCACTTGGGTGAGGGAGAGTAGGCGAAGAAGGGAGGCTGTGCAGAGAACAAGCAATCTGCAAATCCCTTGTACTTCCAGCCAGGCATGTCCGTGCTGTGCCCCATTCCCTCATTTTTCGCCTATCCCTTTCCCCTCTTTTTTCTCACCTTGCTTTCCTCCCTGCACTCTCCTCTCACTTTGTTCTCCCACTCCCCCTCACCTCATTGTCCCCAGCCTCCTCAGCCACGAGTTGCCCACGATAGCACAGAGCCAGCCCCCAGTTGAAGAGCGCGCAGGCATCTCTCCTGTCCATGCTGAGAGCCTGGCGGTACTTCCTAATCCTCTGCATTCTCATTTGACCTCTATCCTCCCCGCGACTCTCCCCCTCACCTCGTTATCCCCAGCCTCCTCAGCCACGAGTTGCCCACGGTAGCACAAAGCCAGCCCCCAGTTGAAGAGCGCGCGGGCATCTCTCCTATCCATGCTGAGAGCCTGGCGGTACCACCTGAACCTCTCTACTCTCTCATCCACTCTACTCCCCCTCACCTCATTGTCCCCAGCCTCCTCAGCCACGAGCTGCCCGCGGTAACACAAAGCGAGCCCCCAGTTGAAGAGCGCGCGGGCATCTCTCCTATCCATGCCGAGCGCTTGCCGGTACTGCCGGCCGGCCTGCACCAGCAGCTGCTCGCACTCATCCGCCAGCCGATCCATCACTGCCGCTGCCTCCCGACCCACCTGCTCCTGCTGCACCCCCGGCAACCCCCCCGCGCCCTCACCCCTCGCCCCACCCGCTCCCCCCAGTAGACCAGCAAGCGGCGACTGGCTCCGCAGCAGCTGCACCGTCCTTAGCTTCACCTCCCCGTGAGCCAGCAGCGCGTTCCCCAGCTGCCCCACGGCCGCCACGCTCACGGGGTCCAGCTGGCACGCGCGCTCAAACAGGCCAGTGGCGCGCTCTAAGAACGCCTCCGCCATGCCGATCTCTATGCGCCCCTGCAGCCCGCCCCGGCCCTCCTGCAGGAGGGTTTGCCCCTCGGACATGTACTGGTTGAAGCGCTCGCGCATGGAGAGTGATGTGCCGGGGTCGGATGGCGCCGTGGTTGGGGTGGTGGCGGTGGTGCTGGGGTTGTTGTTGCTGCTGCTGCTGCTGGTGGTGCTGGCGTTGCTGGCGCTGCTGCTATTAATGGCGTTGCTGCTGCTGGTGCTTCTGGGGTTGGTCGAGGGATAACCTGGCGTGGCTCTGCTGCTGTCAACCCGTGCGTTCTGCTCCGTACCCTCGACTGCCCTGGTGGGGAAAGAAGCAGCACTGTCGCCGCCAACCATGCTGGCCCCACCAGCATCACCCCTCACCCCCAGCGGTTTCTCCTGTGTTCCTCTCCGCTGCACTCTCATCTGCTGCTGCTGCTGCTGCTGCTGCTGCTGCTGCTGCTGCTGCTGCTGTTGCCGCAATGCGTTTGCCTCCCAGGCTTCCTCCTCTCCCACCACTCCCCTACCCTCTCCCCTCTCTTCATCTACCTGTCCCACTCGCCCTCCCCACTCCCTCTCAGCACCACTCTCCCCTCCAACTCCCACTGGCATCTCACTTCTCCCCTCCTCACCAGCGGTCCCCCACCCTCGCCCCCCTCTCTCGTCCTCCCCTCTCTTACCATCACTCCCCTGATAGTCACCTCCACCATACCCACCCCCACGTGCCACAGCACCGCCTCCCCCATCCTTTCTGCTTGCCCTCCTCGTCCACTGCTCGTTTCCCGCTCTCCCTCCCTCCCCTGCCTCTCTCCATCCCTCTCCACCGCCCCTCCACTGCCCCTCTCTCCCTCTCTCTTCCCTCTCCCCGCTCCTCACACCAGACTGCTCGCCTGCTCCTCTTCCCCAGACACCACCGTCCCTTCCCAATCCTCCCACCCTCCCATCCCTCCCCTCGGCATACTTACCACTCGCCTGCCCATCCCCTCTCCAAAATGGATTCTCTCCCCTTCCCCCCTGCCCTGTCACTCCCCCGCCCCTTTCCCCTCCTCCCCCCTGCCCGAACCTCTCTCTTATTTCCCCGCGCAGCTCCCCTCCTCCTTCCCTATCCCAGCCCTCGTCACTATCCGCATCCCACTCGCCCTGCCCATCAGTCAGATTCCCATCCATATAGTCCCACTCCTCCCTCTCCCTTTCACTCCGCTCCCCCATTCCGCCACCTCCACCATCTCCGCCACTCCCCTTTCCCCCACCCCCTCCTCGCTGTACAGCCCATTGTTCCCCCCTCTCTCCTCCCTTCTCTCCCCCTCTCTCACCTCCCCTCTCTCCCCCTCTTACTCCTTCCCTCTCCCCTCCCCTCCCCCCCTCTCCTTTCCCCCACTCCTCCTCGCGCCTGCCCTGCACCCCATCCCCCCAAACCATCCACTCCGCTTCCCCTCATAGCTTCTCCCCACCCACCCTCCCCCTCCCCTCCCCCGCCTCCCCCACCTCCCCATCCCCCTGACCGCTCCCCTCCCCCTCCCCTCACAGCGCTCGCCACCCCCAGCGGCAACTCCCTTCCCGTCCGCCCGCCCATACCCATCCCCCGCCCCCCGCCTCTCCCCCCGCGCCCCCTGCCGTCCGCCTCCCACCCCAGCTTCTGCTGCAGCGGCCCTCTCGCCCCCACCGCTGTGGTTTGGGGCGCCTCGACCGAAGCTCTCGCCCCCATGCCTGCTGCTTGAGGCGCTTCAAACGACACCCTCACGCCCTGCTGTTGCTCCCGCCCTGCTCCGGCTGCAGCCGTCTCAAGCCCGTTAAAACCAAGTGCATTACCCCTTCCACCATCACCGCTTCCCGCCGTTCTCCGCCCATTCCCCCTCCTATCTTCTCTCCACCTGCCTCCAAACTCCTGCTGTGGTTGCTGCTGCTGGAGCGACTGGGATGGCGGTCGCGAAGTTGAGTGTTGCACGGACGAAGCGGATGAGTTTGAGGCGGCGGGAGGATCAGCGGACTTGGCGGTCAAGGAGCCGGCAGCCGCGGCGACGATGGCGGTGCGCGCAGCCATGGATAAGGCGAGGACGCGCATGAGGTTGGTCGGATCGAGAGCAGGTGGTGATGACGTGTCATGAGGGAACAGTGACGTGGCATCGGGGGAAGAAACAGGAGGAGAAATCGACTGTCTGGGAGAGCCCCTTCCCTGAGACTGGTTAGTGTCCCCACGTGGGGATGATATGCTGGAAGGATCAGCGGAATTTGATGCCGCGAAGCGGGTACCCCACCGGCCAGCGTCTGCATTATCATTCACCAGAGCATCAGCGGAATCGCTGCCTTTATAGTCGCTTGATCTCGCCCAGTCGTCACCATTTGGTCCGGCCCATCGTCCATTCCACCCCTCCGCTGCTCGCCGAATTATCAATCGCCGTTGCCGCGACGGTGTTGTTACGCGATGCTGCAATATTGATGCGCGATGCAACGGTGTTGCTACGCGGTGTGACGGTGTTGTTACACAATGCAAGACGGATAACGACGGCAAGCGATGGCAGCCAGAACGACAGCGATTAAAACGATCGGCAATTCTCTGGGTTACCAGGCTTGAATCTGATAATAGCAGTGGCAGCAGTAGTGTATAGGCGGTTGTTTGCATGTGAACGCACTCCATTACGGACAGGCACAATGCTCGCCCGAATTACGGTTTGAAGTAGTCCGCGGTTCGTGGAAAGCGGCTAAAACGGACGGCTACAAACTTTCATGCCGGGGTAACCAGGACTAGATACCAGTCATCTTCAGCTTTCCCCTTTTTTATGGGACTGGTGTTTCAATTCATAAGTCTGCTGTTCTGTTGAGTGAAGTGCTGCTGTGGCTGTGGTGCATAACTGAAGCTAATTCATGGAGAGGGATGACTGATGGAAGGAAGGGGTGGTGAGGATTTACACGGAGTGGAAAACGTTTGAAATACAAAGAAGGGGCCCTGTCGGAAAATCCAGGTGATCCTTGGGAGTTTGGCATAGAAGTTACGGCGAGGTACACGTCACAGGGCGAAGCTGGATTACTATTGGCTGGCAAGCGGGCTTTCGTCCGACGTCACTATTGAGTCACCCGCAAATAGCCTAACTTCACATGCACAGACTTACAAAAAGTCTGGTTGGAATCATACCGCACATACCCAGAATTTGTGACTATCGTTAACGATCGGACGGCTGTCTGCTGTCGTACCGTCAATGTCACATTCTGCTGATGTCTTCTCGCGGAAAAGCCCACAGGAGGCTGCACACCCTTCTATATCCTCTTCTATCCCCTCCTCGGTCCTCTAGCCTATCCCCCTCTCCGCTCCTCGCACCCCTTCTCCCCAGCAATCTCCGCAGCTTTTGTCCCTCTTCCCTGCAGAACCAAGTCCTTTTCCCCTCTCCTATTCGCTCACCTCAGCAGTCGTAGGGTCAGGCAGGCCAGCCTCGTGACTTAATTCACGTCCTAGAAGCGTCCCGTAAGCAAGGTATGAGTTTAGAACAGGGCAAGTTAGTTATCGTTAGTATTTCGACTCGCCTTTTAGCTCTGAATCTGTGCTAGGTGTTGCGATTCCGTCGTCGTCTAGCTGGCTTATTTATTAACTTGACTTTATTTCAGATGGATCGGGAGAAGCTTATGAAGATGGCCACTGCCGTCCGCACCGGCGGCAAGGGCACTGTTAGGAGGTACAGTTTTACCGGTTTCTAGGGTTCAAGATACGAAAAGCGCGGGACAGATGTAGAGTATTCGGACCGTTTTTTTGTGAAGGCGAAAGGCTTTGACAGGGTTTTTGTATCACCAGGACTTTCTTGCGAGAAGATTTGGCGTGTTTCAGTAATTTCTGCGTTAGGGTTTTCTTCCTAAACTCCATTTGTTGTTTTCTGTCAAGGCCAGACGCACATACAGTGGTTCAATAGTTAGAAACGACCGGAAGTGTTGTTAACACTTCAGCAGGCGTTGTCGTTCTGCTGCTTTTGGGTCCATTGCCGAATGACGACGTCTGCCATTTTTTGCTGGTTCCTCACTCCTATCAGGAAGAAAAAGGCCGCTCACAAGACGACGACGACCGACGACAAGAGGCTATCAAGCACTCTGAAGCGCCTTGGTGTGAACACGATTCCTGGGATTGAGGAGGTCAACATTTTCAAAGACGACACGGTCCTCCACTTCTCCAACCCTAAGGGTACAATTACACGGCTTTTTTGCTGTCCAGCATCGTGAAGAATGCATGGTATCTGGTCGTTTCTCTTGAGCTGGTTTTATGTGCTTAATTTCAAGTTCCTCGTACTCAGTTCCAGCCACCTTCGACACTCTTGGTCCTTGCAATCTGTCCCCGTTCGTTCGATGTATCCACTTACAGTGCAAGCTTCCATCGGAGCAAACACATGGGTTGTCAGTGGCGTCCCTCGGGAGAAGAGTAAGTTGCACGTTCTCCTTTCATGCAATTCCTGCCGTTGTTTTCCGTCTTTTTTGGACACGCACATTGCTTCACATTGCTTCCGCGGGCCTTACGGATGTGGCTGCAATGCCTGGTTCTTCTGTTTTGCTTTCAGATCTCCAAGAATTGCTGCCTGGCATTATCAACCAGCTTGGTAAGTGGAGGTTGACCTTTTGTAAATGTGATTGCGCATTGGAATGAATTTCAGGGTGTACATGGGTTAGTTGGCACACACAGGATGACCCGCGTCATTCTCTCTCGCTTCTGCATTATAGTCGTGCTCTTTGTTCACAACCCACTCCTCCCCCCCTCCTCCCCTCCCCCTACCCTCCTCCCCCCCCCTTCCCTGCTTCCCCCTCCCCCTCCCACTCTTCCTGTTTTTCAGGCCCTGATAACTTGGCCGGACTGAAGAAGATTGCTCAGGAATATCAGAAGGCAGGTGAGGCTGCCGCTGCTGCTGGGGCCGCTGCTGAGGATGATGACGAGGTGCCAGAGCTTGTTGAGGGGGAGAACTTTGAGGATACTTCCAAAAAGGAGCCAGCAGCTGCAGATGCTTGATTGGGTTCACACGCAGGTGGGTTCAGGCGCGGCGCGGCTTGAAAGTCGACAAGTTTAGCTCCTGGAGTTTTGAGAGGGATGGCGCTTAGAAGATGTGGCTTGGTGGGAGAACCTGCTCACCATACAGTATGGGATAGCTGGACGATGCTGTTAGCTGACTCCAGTTCATTTCGTCAGTATTGCAGCTGGTTCACTCAACAATCACGCGTAGAAAGAGGGACTGGTCAATCGTGTAGGACCGTCCTAGTGGGTTTATTTTTTGTTGTTCTACGCCCAATGTGTCTTCTGTCCCATGAAAGTCTATTGGAGAAAGCACACTCATCAGCCTTGCAGTCGATTATTTCTTGAATCATGGTTATTTTACCAGTATCAGCCATGCTTGAGAAGGTTGTTAATAATCTCGCAAGAGTGAGATGTCCTAGTGTACATTTCTCTGTACACTGTAGAGAAACACCATCGTAATGAAAGCTACCAAATCTAGGTTACCACCTCCAGTCCACTCCACAGCCCAGCTGGCACCTCGTTTCTAGGCATGCGGCAGCCCACCACCACTTCCACAGGAGATTTCGGCGGTGCAATTCCTCCCCCGCGCGGGGCGATGGACAGGGCGAAGAGTTCTGCCCCGACGGTAGTGCCTTGGGGAAGGACATTCGATGTATAGTAACTACCATAGCTAGTGACAGTAGTACCTACACTTGTGGACAGTCCCTTAGGTCGAGGCACTGGACTTTATCTATCGAGCCTACGTTACGAACATTCGCTCCCCTGGAACACATCACAGTGGTGCGCCGCTGTTCTGTTCAGCGCGTCTCGAAAGAAAAAAACACATACCTCAACAGTAGGTATGGAGGCGCGCCGCGAAGGGGTGGCGGTGGTACCCGATTCCACTCGATCCGACATCGCACTCCACAGGCATGGCGAAAATACGTACCAGTTCATGCCAAGAGCAACTTCAGAAATAGTACCTTACTATTAAAGGCAACCATGGCCAGACCGTTCTTCATCAGCTCTCGCCTTCGCCTTTCCCCTTCACTGGAGTCATTTCTGAAAACCAGCACACCGCTCACTCTAGGGACCATCCTCCACATTCGCCTCCGCTCGTTTCGGCCAGCATTTCCCTCTGCTAGTATTGAATCACCTTATAACGCGTATAATGGCTGCGGGTAAGCCATCCTTCGCACTGCCAGTGCTCGTGCTGCTGCTGGCCGCGGCGTCTCTGGCGGCGGCGCAGGTAACCAGCCCCCCCAAGGCGGAGGTGGTGGCGGAGCTGCAGGCGCTCAAGCGCGCGCTCAGGCTGCGCCCCAAGTACGCGCTCATCCGCCGCGTCGCCTCCACGCTGCTGGCTCGCCAAGGTGAGACATTGTTTTCCCCGTCCGTTTCCCGCCAAGGAGAGATACCCGTTTGACCATGTCAACAGTCCCAAGTACGCGCTCATCCGCCGCGTCGCCTCCGTGCTGCTGTCCCCCAAGACGAGACCATCCCCGTGAGAGAATTCCTCCCTGCGTGCGCGCGTGCTGGCTTTGCTGCGCCAATCAGCAGAGTCAGCGATAGCACTCGGCTTTGAGAAATTAATCTTCTCGTATTCATGCTCGACGCGTAGAGTCGTCGTGTTACCCCTCATTCCCCTTCCCATTTTTCCTCTTTCCTACTCATCATAAGCTTCTCCCCTTCCTTTCCAAATTCATTTTCCGTTCGTCGCGCAGACGATTTCCCCGAGAACTTCGATTTCAGCGACGTGGTGAACAAGACGCTGCTGCTGCCCACCAACGGCGCCATTGTGGGCGCGGGCGTGCGCAAGCTGCCCACCAACGAGGACGACGGCGCGCAGTACGAGGACCTCGGCCTCATGAACGTGCTTGACGGGTACCTCACTATCGAGGATATCAAGGCCGGCGCGATTCTCAAGACGATGCACGACGACAGGGTTCTGGCGGTGAAGGAGACGCGCGGGGCGGTGATCGCGCTGGGGCAGGAGGGGCAGAAGCGGCGCCAGTGGTCGGTGGTGGTGGATGCGACGCTGTTCAAGGGCAAGTTCGTCGTCGCGCATGGCGTCAACCGCATGCAGCAGCCGTAGAACGCGCGCGCGGTTTCGGCGCGCGCTCCGAGGTGGCTTTTTTAGTCGAGTCGAAAGCCACTACGCGCGCGCGCACCTTCGGCCGGTGAAGGAAAAACAAACGTTCTGATTCGCTGCTGATGTGTCGGATGTCGTCTTCTGACGTCCGGACAAGAGGCGTGGGTCTGGTGCGGTTGCTGTTTCCTCCCGCGCATGTCTCAACGAATGCTTTCTTTTTAAGACGGGTGTTTCTTCCTATCCTAGGTTGTCATCTCGCCAGCCATTTCACACCACTTGCTGCGGCTCCTTACCTAATGTCTCCGTGCGCCTGCCATGCCAGAGCCGCGTCTGCGCTTGCTGGTTGTGACCATGCTTGTTGCGACCAGCAAGCGGAGACGTAGTACTGGTGTGCAGAAGGGCAGATCTTGGGTATTTGTCCGCGCTATTGTGTGACCTCCTCGTGTGGATCGTGTGTGCTTGTACGCTTTTAATATTTATAAGAATCATTGCATAATCTTCCACACGGGTAGAAGAGGTACCCAAGGAAATGTGCTGCTGCAAGGTTTATACTGGTGTAAGCCACAATTATATTGTTAAGAAAATAACGATTGTTTTGATAAGTGTTTACGCAATACATGCTTGCGGGAGAAAGATGTCACTGCCTGCTTATTTCCGCACTTGATACTGCAAACTATGAGAGGGTGGAATATAACTAGAGAGCCCCCCCGGTCCATTGCAGCGCACTCCTCACTCCTCGTCACGGTCTGGCGGCAGCCCACATGGCAGCAGCATGCGCTGTGATGTGGGGGCGAGGAGATGAATGGAGGAGTGGATGTGGAGGAGTGGACAAAAGGATGAGTGGAGTGGAGTGCAGGGGACAGGGAAGGGAATCGGTAAGTAAGGAAACTGAGCTGGACATACCTACGGAACAGACACAAAGAGAGAAACTAAGCCTTCTAAGTCGACTCAAAAGGCACTGGGAAAGGAAAGGGCATTAGTGAGAGAGAAAAGGGAATTGGACAAATGGAACAAACACCTCAAAGAGAGGATGGGCGTAGGAATTAATAATTTCCAGACAACCTTTAGCATGGAGCTACCATGCCATGCCCTGCTATGCTATGCAGTCGGCTCTTATGTGAATGCATTAACTATACAAGCCGAAGGGCATGTCCACTAATTGTATATGCACTCATGGGATGTGACTTTAATACATTCTCACAAGTGCCTAAAACGAAACTATCTCATGAGGGCCATGCCATCATGCCACCATGCCATCATGCCACCATGCCACCATGCCACCATACCATCATGTCACAATGGCAGCATGCCATGCGACGGCACCAGCCCCCATCCCTGATAACCTGCATGAAGTTGTGTCGCTGGCGCCTAATGAAGTTGTGACACAGCACCGCCTACAGCACCGCCTACAGCACCGCCTACAGCACCGCCTACAGCACCGCCTACAGCACCTCCCACAGCACCTCCCACAGCACCTCCCACAGCACCTCCCACAGCATCCCTTACAACACCTGCATGAAGTTGATTGTAGTGGACGAAACGAATTCCACAATCTCACCAACAGCACCACCTTACAGCACATGCCACAACACCCCTCCCTGGTCGGGCTTGTGAGTCGACTCAAAGTGAACACATGCCACAGCATCCCTCTCATCACCTGCATCAAGTTGCAGGTGCTCGCTCGCTCGCGACTGATTCTACAATGTCGACAACAGCAGCTGTGAAGTGAGAGCACCAACCAGCCACGTCATCCCCCTTATCACCCGCATGGAGTTGTAGCGCTCACATGCCACCATGCTACAGTGTCAACTACACGCACCTGCTACAACCCACCACCCCCCCCTCCCGCCCCCCCAACCAACCAATCACCTGCATGAAGTTGTATCGCTCGCGGCCGATGCTCTCATTCTCCGCCACGGCAAAGAAGGCCAGCAGCGGGTGGTGCCCCACGTAGGAGGCGTAGCTGTCCCTGTGGATGTTCACCGCCCACTCGCTGGGGGAAGGGGGGAAGGGGTTGAGGGAGAGGGGAAACATAGGCACAGTGAGAGGCGAAGACGGCCAGCAGCGGGTGATGTGGTGTCCCTGTGGATGCATAGCTGTCCCTGTGGATGCATAGCTGTCCCTGTGGATGCATCGCTGTCCCTGTGGATGCATCGCTGTCCCTGTGGATGCATCGCTGTCCCTGTGGATGCATCGCTGTCCCTGTGGATGCATCGCTGTCCATGTGGATGCATCGCTGTCCCTGTGGATGCATCGCTGTCCCTGTGGATGCATCGCTGTCCCTGTGGATGCATCGCTGTCCCTGTGGATGCATCGCTGTCCCTGTGGATGCATCGCTGTCCCTGTGGATGCATAGCGGTCCCTGTGGATTGTGTTCACCGCCCACTCGCTGCATGGCAGGGGAAGAAAAGGGAGGGAGTGGGGAAGGGCGAGGGGAGGGGAGGGGGCGGAACAGTGAGAGGGAGAGGCGAAGAAGGCCCGCCGCGGATGGTGGCTGGCCCACAGAGGAGGCATAGCTGTCCCATCTGTCCCTGTGGATGCTGTTCACCGCCCACTCGCTGCATGCACAGGGGTGGGAGCTGGGAGGGACTTTTGAGGCGCCTCAAAAGTCCCATCTGTCCCTGTGGATGTTGTTCACCGCCCACTCGCTGCATGCACAGGGGTGAGAGCTGGGAGGGAAAGGGAAAGGGAGAGGGGATGGGAAAGGGAGGGGGAGAGGAGGGCGACGGGAAGGGGCGGATAGGCAGAGAGTGAGAGGCGAAGATGGGCAACAGCGGATGGTGGTGCCCCACATAGGAAGCATAGCTGTACCGGTGGATGTTCACTGCCCACTCGCTGCATTGACGAGGGGACGGGAGAGAGAAAGCAGGATGAAGGGTCGATTGTTGGGAGGATGAAGCGCCAGCAGCGGGTGGTGGCCCACATAGGGGGCATGGCTGTCCCGGTGGATGTACAGGGGTGGGATCTACGAGTAAGTGGGAAAGGGGCAGGGGATGGGAAAGGGAGGGGGGGAGCGGGTGATGTGGTACCCCACATATGATGCATCGCTGTCCCTGTGGATGCTCACTGCCAAAAAGCTGGGGAGAGGGGGAGAGAGGGAAGAGATAGGGAAAGGAGAAAGGAAGGTACAGGCGGCGCGAGAGGAAAACACGGCTAGCAGCTGGTGGCATGGTGCCCTGCCCGCTCTGTGCCCCACATAGGATGCATAGCAGTCCCTGTGAATGCTCACTGCCCACTCGCTGGGGAAACAAGTGAGAAGGGGGAGGGACCGGAGGACGGAGACCCTGACTCATGTTTCAAGGAGGCTTTTCAAGTCAGGGTGACCACTCGCTGGGGCAACAAGTGAGAAGGGGGAGGGACCGGAGGACGGAGAGCAGGAGAAAGAGGCGGAGGGCATCAGGGGCGAGAGAAGCCAGATTGGTTGGCAGTTAATGGCGTCCGCAGGGTTTGCCGTCACAAAGCTGGCAGCGCAGGGTTTGCCGTCCCTGTGGATGCTCTCTGCGCACTCGTTGCATGCCACGGGAAGACAAGCAGGCGGAGAGGCATGGCTCTGCTAGTTGTAGCCCACTCCATGCCTCCTGCTCTCTGCTGCTCTCTGTTGCTCTCTGCTGCTCTCTGCTGCTCTCTGCTACTCTCTGTTATCCACTCGCAACTCAATGCTCGCTGCCCGCTGCTCTCTGCTCATGTTGAAACCACTGCTGCTGTCTCTTACTACTGTACGCCTGGCCTCCTCGATTAGAGGGGTGTCTCGATATAATCACATATGATATGTTGGCACTCGTTAGCAGCGCACTCACTACTTGGTGGTGTCAGCATGTCCCGTGCCCACGTATCTCGCCTGCATGTGCTCCAACTGGCTGCTGATGTTGAACCGATCGCTCGCCTGGTGATAACCGGTGAAGGGGAAAGGAGGGGGGGAACGGAGAAGGGGAAAGGAGGGGGGGAACGGGGAAGGGGAAAGGAGGGGGGGAACGGGGAAGGGGAAAGGAGGGGGGGAACGGGGAAGGGGAGGAAAAATGCGAGTGGGCAAGGCTGCATGTGCTCCAGTTGGCTGATGATGGTGAACCGCTCGCTCGCCTGTCAATGGGGGGTGCGAAGGGAGAGTCGCAATGGCGAAATCATGCGCGGGGAAAGTGGCGTTGGTTAAGCGCGCAATGGGACGGTGCTTTAGCTGCCTGCTCATGTTGAACCGGTCGCTCGCCTGTCAGTGGGACAAGGGTGAGGGGCGAGGGGTGAGAGCAAAGGCGGAATACGGGGGAAGAGACGGTGGGCTAAGCTGTATGTGCTCCAGCTGGCTGCTCATGTTGAACCGGGTCGCTGGAATGTTGAGGGGCAAGGGGGGAAGAGGCGGACGAGGGGGGAAGAGGCGGACGAGGGGGGAAGAGGTGGACGAGGGGGGAAGAGGCGGACGAGGGGGGAAGAGGCGGCGGACGAGGGGGGAAGAGGCGGACGAGGGGGGAAGAGGCGGCGGACGATGGGGGAAGAGGCGGACGAGGGGGGAAGAGGCGGACGAGGGGGGAAGAGGCGGACGAGGGGGGAAGAGGCGGACGAGGGGGGAAGAGGCGGCGGACGAGGGGGGAAGAGGCGGACGAGGGGGGAAGAGGCGGACGAGGGGGGAAGAGGCGGACGAGGGGGGAAGAGGCGGACGAGGGGGGAAGAGGCGGACGAGGGGGGAAGAGGCGGACGAGGGGGGAAGAGGCGGACGAGGGGGGAAGAGGCGGACGAGGGGGGAAGAGTCGGCGGACGAGGGGGGAAGAGGCGGACGAGGGGGGAAGAGGCGGACGAGGGGGGAAGAGGCGGACGAGGGGGGAAGAGGCGGACGAAGGGGGAAGAGGCGGACGAGGGGGGAAGAGGCGGACGAGGGGGGAAGGAAGACGGGATGCGGTGGGCAGGGCTGCACGAGCTGGCTGCTGACGGGTGACGCGGCGAGGGTCGCGGGATGGAGAGAAAGGAAAGGGCGGAGAGGCTGAGCGAAACGCGGCGAGGGTGAAGGAGAAAGGGCGGAGCGGCTGAGGGATGCGTGAGGCACGAGGGGAGAGTTGAGTGATAGTACGAGGCATGACTACGGCAAGAGGCATGTGATTACGGCGAGCGACGCTTACAAAGGTGAATCTCATCTGATTCAGCCGATTCGAAACAAATGGGATGTGGCGCGGACAAGGTGAGTGAACGTACGGCGAGTGAACGTACGGTGAGTGAATGTACGGTGAGTGAACATACGGTGGGTAAACGTACGGCGAGTGAACATACCATGGCGAGTGAAGGAATGCGCGACGCTAATCGCACGAACGACGCTCGGTGAAGGCTCAGACACGAATTGACGAGAGTAGCTAAGTAGCGGTCCGTGCTCGTTCTCCTAGCTCGAGGTGATCTAGTATGAAGGGAGTCGTTTTTTGTAGGATAGCCTGTACTCGTTAAGAGATACTGAATCTGAGACAGAATAACATGTCTATGCACAGTAATAGACTGAACATATCTTCTTATCTCACAGTAATTTCTGCACCCAAAATTCAAAATCTCCTTTTGAGCCTTTCTGAATCCATATTTTCCTTGCGATCATCCACTGTGAGGTTAAATTCAAAAAAAGACTCGATAGTTTTGCTCCAGACACGGATTTTGGACAAAGTTTTGATCTGGTGTAGCATTCACGGATTAGAGTCATATTTGTACCATTAGTCGTTCCTGAAAAACATAGCCATGTCAAGGTGTTTCATAGGCAGGTGTTTTGAGATCATAACATGTCTAACATTTCTCGGATGTGCATATTCTGTTCACCGTTGAGGTGGCACCGACAAAACAAACGCAATGGTCACGAGTCCAGCGTGGTCAAACACATTCCGTTCTGCCAAGCAGCAAAGCATGCTTCTGGTCCAGCAAGGCAAAACGGATGGTGCATTTGTGTTAGGGAGATTCTCGTGCACTTATCTTGAATCGTGGCTCAGGACGGTTCCGCACGGTAATATGCGGTTTTACAGTTTTACCGTTTTGAACCGTGATAAAACGAAGTTGACCGCAGTGATCGTACCGAAGTTGTGCAACCTGACGTCGCCTTACATATGATACGAGAACCAGAACCAAGCAACAAATATTCATTCCCGGTTTTTTCAAGGATGTCTGGCTTTGTGTCCTCTCTTTCACACAAGATCTTCCCCGCGTTTGTTGTGCCTTGTAGTCCTAGTGCGACGCTCCTTTTGTGCTTCAAAGAATATTATAGAAACCTGTAGGTAATGCATTACTGCAGGCGATTTCAAGCACGAGTTGATGAGATGGATTATGGCAAATTTCTTCCCACGAAGGTCGTCGCGCTCCTGTGGCTGACGTGTCTCGCCCAGTGTTTCCGCCTCACCGCATCTGTCGTATTCGAACCCTCTCAAGGTCCGCCGACCTCTCACACCATAGCCGATCTATTACTATCACGCTGTTTCTTTCACAAACATGAACATCGCGGAAAAAAGGCAAATGCGAAATTTGGCTCCCCGTAGGGTTTTCTATTGGAAAAGCACACAGAAAGTCACTGCCATACAAAACATTCCAGAGTCAATGTGACGGTAATGTCTCACCGACGTAGGACAGATTTGTTACGAAAATTCACGCTTCAGCAGCATCCAGTGACGCGAAGATGTCAGCTGCGAACACGTTCGGGTGGCCTGGTTGGAGCCCACAAAAACGAGTCGTTTAGAGCGTTTTGAATGCGATTCTTGTGGTTGCATGTCGCCTTGAAATCCGTCTTGAAAGAGAGATCTCGCTGCCAAACGAGGCTTAAACTCTGCCTCTCCACACCTAAAAAAGGAAAAGAAGAAAACATCACTTTTGCGAGCCGACATGGGTCACCCCTGAGGTATGGGTCACCTGTACCACTGAGAACGAGTACAAAATCTGAAAGAGAGCGGAAGGGTGCTCGCGCATATGCTTGATAGTGTTTAATTGCAAGCGAGGCCTCGCCAGGTGTGTTAAGGCAGAGGGTGGCCTCACCAGGTGTGTTTTGAGTTGACTTAAAGTTTACGCATAAGTCGGAAGGTTTGGCCTCACCAGGTGTAACACCCCAGCTGGTGGAGAGGAAATGCATGGACAATTCAAAATAACCAACTAGGCCCAAGAACAAACGAGGAGCAATGCTCTCCCTGTGTGGTTTTTGAAAGCTTCGAGCGAGGCAGGTTCAAGCTGATGCAAGCCAGTTTTATTGCCAGAAAATGCCACTCTTGCTGCATGTCCTGAAGCGAACAAGAAGCACATGGGCATCAATCCTTGTTCCCATCCTTGGGTTTTGCGAATTCACAAAAAAACATCTAAAAGTACGCGAGCCTCCATCCGTCTTTGTTCCCATCTTGGCAGTGACGGCTCTCGCAGATTGCCAGGCGGAGTGGGGAAAGAACTTCAGCAACTGGGAGGAAGGAGGCGATTGCGATCTGGCGTACGGGCTGACATGCGATGCATTCGGGATGATCACCAGCGTGTGAGTGGCCCTCTTCTTTTTACACTTGTGTGAGCTCGCGTCTCATATTTACGAGTGTTTTACACTTGTACCCGGACGTTTAACACTTGGTTGGTTAAGCACGTCCGTGATTGGTGAAGTCAGAAGTTTACCCCAGCTCGTCACAGATTTTGTCGTTTGCCAACCAGTCACGGAGGCCTAAACCCAACCGAGTGTTAAACGGTTGTAAATATGAGACGCGAGCTTTAACTGACACAAACCGCGGCGACTTTTGGGTACGATTTAGAATTGTAATCTGATATAGCAGCTCATATCCAATGCATCCGGGATGGTCACCGGCGTGTGAGTGGCTCTCTCTTCGTGAAGTGACTCAACCAAGGTGGCTTTTGGTTCACTTCATGAGTTAGAAGTGTGATCCGACACATCAACTCATATGCAGTGCATCCGCGATGATCACATGTGTGTGAGTGACTCAATTGGTCATAAACTCGTCAGTTCGTCGTCATATAGCCAATCAGTCTCCTGCAACTCTATAATATCCCCAAATGTGGCATGATGTGCCACATGGCCCAGTCCATGCATCATGTCGTGGACGGATCTTCCTCTGCCCCTCAGATTCTCGTCTTGATTCATGTCATCATGATCATCCCCATGCCCCGTCTCGCTGCAGCAACCTCACAGCAGGGGATGCGGGCCCTGGCTCCATTCCAGCCTCATTTGGCAATCTGCTAGAGCTCACATACCTGTAAGTCCCATCCTCATCTTTGAGACATTTCAATGAGCATTGAGATGTCTCGAAGCTCCATCGCCACCTCCATGGGCAATCAGCTGTTGACATGCATTTGGGAATTCTCAGAATTCACCCTCGTCTGCTCTCAGAGCACCATCTGGCTTTTGTCTATTTCAATCCAATATGTCTTATCGTGAGTGAGCCTTTGTCCATGACAAGTCGTGCTAGCATCGATCAGATCACACGTACAAGCTTACATCAAATGACGGGAAATTCGGTTGCAATGGTCTTTCATTGAAAGTGTAGACGCTAAGCACACTGAGCTTACTTGATCCTAATCCATCATTCATGTTCTGACACTCTTTTTGAAAGGGAAATTGACCTGTCTGTACCACATCTGTGCCAAACTGATCTTGCTCTCCTCCTCCAGAAAGAGTGTTAACAGCTACGTAACAGGGACAATCCCTGAAAGTTTTTGGGACCTTACTAAGCTCCAGTACTTGTGAGTGCATGAGGGCTCTGACGCATGCAATCAGGTTCAGCACCTACTGCTCTCTTCTACTAGCAGTATAACATTTTACCAATGGTCCACACACAGAACATGACACGACATAACTTCACCAAACCACCACGCACCAAACCATACAACACCACACCACATCACACCACACCACACCACACCACAGCACCTCCCGCTCCTCCGGCCTCGGCAAGCAGGCATTTTCGGCGGAGCATGTTGTGATGCAGGTATGAACTGCACAAGGGCGCGTCCTTGTTCTCAGACTATACCTTCATTCTGGAGTTGAGTGTGCGTGTGGGCCATGGCCGTTACAGTTGCAGTGCAATGTCTTGTGTCTGTGTGTCAATGCGGAACAGGCATACATGTGAGTGTGCATCAATCCAGAACAGGCATACATGTGAGTGTGCATCAATCCAGAACAGGCATACATGTGAGTGTGCATCAATCCAGAACAGGCATACATGTGAGTGTGCATCAATCCAGAACAGGCATACATGTGAGTGTGCATCAATCCAGAACAGGCATACATGTGAGTGTGCATCAATCCAGAACAGGCATACATGTGAGTGTGCATCAATCCAGAACAGGCATACATGTGAGTGTGCATCAATCCAGAACAGGCATACATGTGAGTGTGCATCAATCCAGAACAGGCATACATGTGAGTGTGCATCAATCCAGAACAGGCATACATGTGAGTGTGCATCAATCCAGAACAGGCATACATGTGAGTGTGCATCAATCCAGAACAGGCATACATGTGAGTGTGCATCAATCCAGAACAGGCATACATGTGAGTGTGCATCAATCCAGAACAGGCATACATGTGAGTGTGCATCAATCCAGAACAGGCATACATGTGAGTGTGCATCAATCCAGAACAGGCATACATGTGAGTGTGCATCAATCCAGAACAGGCATACATGTGAGTGTGCATCAATCCAGAACAGGCATACATGTGAGTGTGCATCAATCCAGAACAGGCATACATGTGAGTGTGCATCAATCCAGAACAGGCATACATGTGAGTGTGCATCAATCCAGAACAGGCATACATGTGAGTGTGCATCAATCCAGAACAGGCATACATGTGAGTGTGCATCAATCCAGAACAGGCATACATGTGAGTGTGCATCAATCCAGAACAGGCATACATGTGAGTGTGCATCAATCCAGAACAGGCATACATGTGAGTGTGCATCAATCCAGAACAGGCATATGTATGCGTGTGCATCAATCCAGAACAGGCATATGTATGCGTGTGCATCAATCCAGAACAGGCATATGTATGCGTGTGCATCAATCCAGAACAGGCATATGTATGCGTGTGCATCAATCCAGAACAGGCATATGTATGCGTGTGCATCAATCCAGAACA